TTTCCTTTCCTTTCCTTTCCTTTCCTTTCCTTTCCTTTCCTTTCCTTTCCTTTCCTTTCCTTTCCTTTTCTTTTCTAGACAGAGTTTCTTTGTGTAACCCTGGCCCATCTGGAACTCTCTCTTGTAGACCAGGCTGGGCTCAAATTCACAGAGCAATGCCTGCCTCTCCCTCCCAAGTGCTGGGATTAAAGGCGTGCACCCCCACCGTCCAACAGAACTCCAGGTTTTCTGTGTTTGTGTTCCTTAGGAACCTCTGATTTGTGACTTTTTCTTTTTTATGTATGTGTATGTCTGTGAATGTGTGCACCCTAGTGCAATGCATGAAGGGACCAGAAGAGGGTATCAGATCCCCTGGAGCTGAAGTCGTAGGTGATGTGAACCCCCATGTGGGTGTTGGGAACAGAACTCAGGTCCTTGAGAGAGTGGAAGGTGCTCTTAACCTCTGCACCTCCTCTCCAGTTCCCCTGTAATTTTCCATTCTGACTTTGGTATCAGGGTGATCTGGCCCTGTTTTTTAAATTGATCTAATGAAGTTGTGTTGTTTAATGCTATGCCCATGAGCTCCATCTGTGGGGCTGTGTATAATCAGGAGTTCGTTTTCTATTATTCTAACCGACAACAAAACCCTCTCACGCAGTCCTTTACAGATGGTCCTTGAGTAGTTTCTAATATTCCACATACCAGATTCTACTGGGGTTTGACATGTCTGGGATTCCCAGTAGGGCAGTAGGAGGAAGAGGGTCAGGAGTTGAAGGCCTTTAAAAAAAAAAAAGCTTTCAACAGAAATCTGTACAAACATTCTTATGTTTCTGTGGGACAGCCTCCATGTCTCAGTGTAGTGAACTAACTAGAAGAGGGAATATGTGTTGCTTGTACTCAGGGAGACAAAGCAGCTCTGCAGAGTCACTGTGTGGTCGTCCACACCTGCCGGGTGTCAGAGTTCCTCTTGTGCTTTCCTTGTTGTTTCTGACGATGGAACCCAGGGCTTCACCTGTGCAAGCCCATCACTGTGCTGCTGAGCCTCGCACCCAGCCTGTGCTTGGATCACGTGTGAGCTGTCGGGTCGCGTGTGAGCTATTGGGTCATGTGTGAGCTATTGTGTTGTGGTGCCTCCTCGCTCTAACCCTGTTGGTAGGATGGGATGGTGTCTCACTATGATTTGAGTTTGCACCTCCTTGCCCATGGGTGAAGTCCATCACTTTTCCTTTTTATTTGCTGGGTGTTTGGAGGAGTTGCTCTTTCTTTTCTAGTGTGCTGTTTTTTGTTTGTTTGGTTGGTTTTTTTTTGTTGTTGTTATTGCTGATTTTAGTTTTATTGTTATTTATGTGTATGGGTGTTTTGTCTGTGTGTATGTGTGTGTAACACACACACACACACACACACACACACACACGTGCCTACTGCCTGTGGAGGCTAGAAGGAATTGGATCCCCCAGAACTGGAGTTACAGATGGTTGTGAGCCACCTCGTGGGTGCTGGGAACCAAATCTGGGTCCTTTGCAAGAGGCCAAGGGCTTTTAACCACTGAACCAATTCTCTGGCTACAGGTGTTGCTGGTTGCGGGCAGCCCCATGACTGGAGTTCCTCTGCCGTTTTCTGGGGATTGGTTCTGTGTGTAGTGTGAGGTAGGGTCAAGATCCTCTTCCTCCCATATGGAGAGCAAGGGAAACCATTCATCAGAACAATGGTTCTTCCTTCAGTGCTCCGAGTCATAAAGCAGGTGTCATTGTACCCATGGACTGAGTAGATGCTTCTATGCTGTTCCGTCCCACCGATCTGTTTGTCTACCCTGGCAGTGTCTTGGTGACCAGGACTTTAGGGTTGGCTGCCTGACCTGGGTGTGGCTCCCCTGACTGGGCCTCTGTTGACGGCCTTGGTTGTTCTTGGCCTTTTGTGTGCTGTTGGGCTTAGGCTCAGCCTGTTCTCTGATTGTCCTGGCTCTGTTATTTCTCCTTCCAGAGGCTCCCACTCCTGACAAAGACCCTGTAGGCTGTGTGGCCTCTGTTGGTCTCCAGCCTAGTCCATCCCTGGGGCCCTATAGCCTAGGCTTAGTCACAGTGGCTGAAGGGCAGGGCCACAGTCAGTTCAGCCTGGCCAGTGGGGTGTGGGCCCTGGCTGGCACACAGCCATCAGGAAGGTCAGAAGGCAAGTGGATGCTTGGTCCAGCAGGCAGAAGTGGGTGGCTCCAGCTAGCCTGAATGCTGACTGCATGTATGTTTGGGTATCACGGGCGTGCCTGGTGCCCATGGAGGCAACAAGAGGAGTTTGAATCTCCTGTTACAGTTGTGAGCTGCCATGTGGGCACTGGAAACCGAAACTCCATCCTCTGCAAGAGGAGTCAGTGCTCTTAACCACTGAGCCACCTCTGCGGCCCCAGTTCTGCCTCTCCTGAGCTTGCTCTTCCTGTCACCCTCAACGTTTGTTAAGATGCTTCTGTGGTTACTGAATCCCAGCGTCTCACCGTTGGTAGTGGAGATGCATTCAGAGGGGGAACTGGGAAAATGAGCCATGAGTATCCAAACGGACACAATGTAACTGGTGCTGGTCTCCTGGGGGCTCCCAATGACCAAGGCAGAGGCTGGATTGCATAGGAGAGGGGAAAGCCTTAGCCCTCAGATTGAGGACCTGCGAGGAATGCCTGACACCGGGATGTAGGGCTCCAGGGTAGAGGATGGAGGGTGAGACTATCAGGGAAAGGGACGTGGGAGGTAAAGGGACATCCGACGGCTGGGAAACCCAGCCTGTCCTTAACATGACACAGGGTCTTGTCAGCTCAAACACAGCCAGAAGTGGTCACGCCTGGAGCACAGCCCTGGGGAGAGAGGCTGGCGTGTCAGTCTGGGTTTCCTGTCTTCCTGTTTATGCTTTGCTTTCCGAGATGGTGCCTGGAGATGGGAGAGGCTACAGTCTGTGACCCCTTGAGACTCTGACCCCATGGGGTACTATGTGGTAGCAACCTCTTGGTTGGCACGTAGGGGCTGAAGGGTTAGGGGCCAGGTCCCCAGAACAACTCCAGAAGTAGGCCAGTGTCAGCCTGCCTGTCAGGGATGAGGGGAATGACTGAGGTATGCTTGGTAGAGCCTCTGCTGGTGACCCGCTCCTGTCTGTCCATTCCCTCCTTCCCTACCCACCCGACTCCTCCTCACCCATTTTCTCCTGGTTGCCCCATCTTTTCTTCCCAAGAGAGCAGATCCTCCCTGTGGTGTTGAGCCCTCTGTGGCCTGGCGAGTGGCCAGAAGTTTCATTTGCCGTCCTGGCTCTGTGATCTCAGCCTGCTTGCTCTCGCTCTCCGGGCCCTCTGGGCTCCGAAATACTGGAATCGCAATAGCTGATTTCTTGGCTCCCTGATCTAATTCTTGTGACTTAAATTGCTTCCTGAGCCCCGGCTGCTGAAGCCTGCAGGGCTGATGAACCTGCTTTGTGCCTAAGGGCCCTGAGGTTTTTCAGTCTCTCCTTTCTCTTTTCCCAAGCCTCCAGGGCAGAGGGAGGCCTAGGGCCAGAGGAGATTGACCTCCCTGGGCGGAGAGGCCAGGGAAATTGAATGGTTGGCTTGAGGCCACCCTGCAACCCTGGGTGGATGAGTGACTGCAGACCAAGAACAAGGTTTTGCAGGCCATCTTTTCCTTCCCGTCTCTTCCCCTCCCTGGAGAATCTCCACCTTCCTGTCCTTTGGGGCTGCAGCTCAGTTGGGGATTGTATGGGAGCCATTGCCTAGTACTTTCTCCTGCGACCAAGGTGGCCACCTCAACCTGAGGACCTGGGTTCCAATCCACTGCCTCCATGGGGACATGAATAAGGTCCCTCACCTCACAGAGCCTCAGCCCTCATTCTGAAAATGGCAGCAGAGCGCCCGCTTGGCCCTTGCTCTCAACACTGGACACAGCAAGCCTCTCTTAGTGGCTTGCCCACGGTGGGTTCCAGAGAGCAGGAAGTTCGTTCCTACCTTGGCGATGAAGGAAAGGGGCCTCGGAGAGGCTGGGCGACTTTTCCACAGTTATTACCCAACAGATGAGTAGTTTGGCCAGGATCAGTGCCTATGTCCATCCTGCTATTAAACTTTGCTCAAAAACCGTTCTATGAATTCTGCCTCAGTTTCCCTCATGGACAGCTTGAACCTCATTAAAGACCACAGTGTTGTTCTATGTGCACCCCAGAATGTGTAGATTTGGGGAGGTTCAAGATGAAGTATGAGAGACCAGACCTCTGTCAACACTCCTGATGGGTCAAGCCCTACTGGTTCCGGCCACAACCCCTGCTCTCCGGGGCCTTCTCTGACCATATTGGTGCAGGGTGTGTCCCTTGAACTTGGTCATTGTTCATTTAGGGCTGGCTAAACAGGACTGGGAGTGTGAGGTGGGTGTGGCCTGGCCAGCCCTGGACACCGGGCACTGGTGGCCTGAGGGCTTGGTATCACCTTCCAGACACCAGGAAGGAGAGACTCTTAATAGCTGAGGCAGGTAGTCCGTACCTTTTGCCTCTTTGCCTGATAGCAGGTACTGGCTGTGTGAACCTGGGCAGACCTCTGCCCCTCTCCCTATCACCTTCCCTGCCTGTGCTATTGGGATGCTTCTGGGAGGGGGATACATCCAGTGGTCGGAGCTTAGCGAACTGTCCATGTTTGACGTTCTTCTTGCCCCCCTGTCTTATAGGTGCCGCCTCCTCTTGGGGTCGTGGTCACCATGTTCTCCTGCGTGAAAGCCTATGAGGACCAGAACTACTCAGCGCTGAAGCGGGCCTGTCTGCGCAGGAAGGTGCTCTTTGAGGACCCCCACTTCCCGGCCACTGACGACTCGCTCTACTATAAGAATACCCCAGGACCCGCGGTCAGGTGGAAGCGACCTAAGGTTAGTTTCTGGCCCCTCCTAGGGAGAATGGGTCCCCGATCCCACCGGCAGCCTCCTGCCTGGTCAGGTCCTCTAAGGCATAGTGCACTCAGGGACCAAGGACTGCAGGTCTCGGCCTCCCTTCCCATGGCCATGTGGGGTGTATGCAATGTGCCGTGGATGGGCCCCGTGTGCAGTAAGATTGAAGGGCAGGTTTGCTTTGCTGATTTTCAAGTCACTTCCTGTACAAGTAGAAGCATGTACTCTCATGAAGCTGTAAGGATGGGCAGCGGGTGACCACTGTAAGGACCTGTACCCTGAGTGTTGGTGGCCTTGCCAGCTCCCAGCCTGGCCTAGGGCCCATGAGTTGTATGCTTAGCAGAAGTAGTTGGCCGTATGCTTAGCAGAAATAGTTGGCCCTGGGCCATGACTTTTGGTTCTGTATCTTATGTGTGAGGTGGGCATAGGAGTTCTGCCGAGTGGGGCTCCTGGGGTCTTCGTGAAGGGGAGGGTGCTGGAGGACTCAATCCAGGCTTCACCTGGTGACAGAGAGACAGTCACTGAAAAGGGACTTTAGTGTGGGAAACCAGGCTTTTCCAGGTCCCTTGGGCAGGTCGTCACAGCCTCTTCCACGCCTGTTCTCAGAGAAGGTGCCTCGGCTGCAGGGTCAGGCTAGGGGGGAATGTGCAGTCACATAGAGACTATTACGTTGGGGTATCAGGTCCCCTCTGGCAATGACAAAGCAGGTAGAACCTGAGGCACAGGAGGGAAGCACCCCCACCTCCTGGGCCTGGCATGTTAGTTCTGAGAGCATGCGGAGCCGTGCATGTCTCTATGATCAGAAGCAAACAGCAGTCAGATTTGTACTGTCCAGTCTCTCTAGTCCTTGGACATTTGGAGAAAAATAAAATTCCACATTCATGTCCCTCCCAACAACCATCCTGGGGCATCGCTGTGAACTGGGGCTCTTGTCAGGCAAGGGAATTGAGGCTGAAAGGAAAAGGGACCACATATTCAGGAATCTCACTTGGATCTTTCCCTGACACCAGATGGACTCTGGGTTCTTTGGCCTCAGACCTTGGGAGTTTGGGAAGCTTCTGGCCCTGGCTTCCTTCTCCACACTAGTGACAGGATTTTGGCTCTGTTATCCCATGTCTGCTTCGGCAAGGCGTGGGGTAGGAGCTGGTTCTAGAGGGCCTTTGTAAGATCCTGGTTCCCAGGAGAAAGGGTGGACACCTGAGCCTCTTCCTGCCACCACCCCCAAGGCACACTGTCCTTGCCCTGACCCTCTTCCTAAGACTGTGGCCATAGTCTGGAACGGGCTTCAAGAGGCCCAAGGCTGGGCAGGGCAGGCTGGTGGCTAGGAAGTCTGGTGACGGGGTGCGACCCGATGGAGTCACTGTCCTCTCAACGCCCTTTCCCCTGGGTTCAGGAATCCTAGCTCCTCCTTCCTTGGCAGCTGTCCAGCTGCCTTTCCAGCTCTCCCTGAAGACGAAGAACACATTGCCTACCCTGGCAGGGTCATGGCACACATGGTTGGCATCAGAGCAGGGGCGGGGCCAGAAGGCAGTCGCCAGGCTCCAGTCTTGGTCATGCCTGAGCCCACTGGACAGAGTGTTCCCATGGGCATGATGCCACAGTTAAGACCTGGACTTAACTGGGGAGGGAGGGCAAGGCGGACAGTGGAGGGGAAGTGGAGCAGCCTGGGTTGGGGTGGGTTTCCAGCTCCTGACCGTTAATGTCCAGCCGCTTGGCCTCTGGCCTGAGGAGCCGTGCTTCTGAGTGGTTCTATTTCCTGGGTCCTGGGCCTGATGCATTGTTTGTAAGCAGAGCAATCAATCGGCCATTTTCCCTGTATACAGCCTGTTCTGATTCCACTTCTAGAAACCTCTCTCTCAGTTGGTCGTTATGGTGACGTCTCTGTTCGTAGAGATTCTCTTTAGACAGCCTCTGAGGCTGAGCCACTCAATGTCCCCATCCATTACCCTCCCAGTCTGGAACTTCCCAGCCTCCCAGGCCCTGGGCACTCAGTCTTCCGGTCCCCAGTTTCTCAGTCCTTCTAACCTTTGTGCCTCCCAGGCTCCCCTCTTTGTAGTCTCAGCTCCCTAGCCCCTTAGTGTCATCACTTCCCAGGCTTCAGGCGACAGCCTTCATGCTTCCTAGCCTGAGTCCAGCCTTCCTGTCCCAGCTTCCCGCCTGCTTTTTGAGCGAGCCAGGCTTGACTCCAGCCTGAGGTGTCTTCTTGAAGTGAGGTGTAGTAAAGAGTCCCCTTCCTTGGGCTACGGTTACTCGTCTTTAAGTGGGGATAATAATTCTGGCTGAGTATGGTTTCTGGAAGTTGAGGTGCTGGAGGCATCAGACACATAGAGGCAGCAGCATCCAGCTACCCTCATCCTTCTGGTCAGCCCCTTGGTGGGGAGCCAGAGCTGGCCAGTATCCTGCCATTCACTCTGCAGGGGGCACCAGGCCTGCCCTTTTTGGCATTCATCTTACTACTACCCCCCACCCCCGCCTCTGTTGTGTCCTTTGCCACTGAGGGAGCCTCTTCCACCTTCCTTACTGCTGGGAAGAGGAGAGGGAGGCGGTGGAGGGTTCTGGGGAGTCAGGATGTGGGCAGAGGTCACTTCTGGTTCTCAGGCTGAGGGCTACAACTGTCTGGCCTCCACCCAGCTCTCTGCCTTCCTTATGTCTGGGCATTATCTTGGGGGGTTCTAGATAAAATGCATGGGGGTTGGTAGGAGCCCTGGGGACTTTTCCAGTTTTGAGACCCTAACATTCCTTGAGGCAGCCTGGTGTGCCCACTGCTCAGGAAGGGTGATCTTCTCAGAGCGCTGACCACTTGGCCTGCCTTAGGAAGACCTCTGCCCTGCCTAAAACTGAGCCCCTTGGGTACCTCCCGCTAGTCTTCCCAGAGCACCAGGGAAGGCCCCTGGTGTTAGAGGAGGTGGAGGAGACCATGGCTGGATTGCTGAAGAAGGAGATGGGGGAGGGAGAAGGGACAGTTGCAGAGCGGGCACCAGGTCCTGTGACTTTCCTGTTGTGTCCAGGCAAAGTTCCTGCAGCGGTCACTCTCTGTGACCTTAGATTCAGGAGTGGGCAGGAGGAAGGGTAAGGAGAGGCAGTGTACCCTGAGGGTACTGTTGCATGCACGGCTGCCCAGCTCCTGGCTGGGCTTCTGACTCTACACTAGCTGGAAACCTGAATTTCCTGCTGAGCCAGGAGGGGCGTGGCTCTGACCTGGTCAGACCTGGGCCAACTGGTCTGAGGTTACCACAGGTCAGAAGCCAGGGCCCTGGAGGCTTGCTGGCCAGAGGTGTGGCACCCCGGCCTGGGGGTGGTTCTGTCCGGGGCTCACAGCAGGCCCCGTGCAGTCCAGTCGAGGGCACTTGGTTTTTCCCTCCATGCCCAGTCAGTATTCTCTGTCCCCAACTTGCCTCCCAGTGCCAAATACATCCCCTGTCTGAGAGCTCACCGGCAGATAGAGGGACCTACATGCAAAATGGTGCCCAGTATCCCAGGTCCAGCCCATGGTTTCCCAAACAATCAAAAACCAGGAATCAGGAACCCAACAAAGGAAATAGATGCATTTACAGATTTGGCCTCACTTGCTGCAGTGTTAAAATTCATAGGAAAGAGGAAGCAAAAGCCAGGAAATCTGCATACGCAGATGCACCTCCTATTGGTGGTGAGACTCATCTGCCCTAGGAACTGGCTTATCCCTAGGGGACTTTCTCTTCTGCAGCTGAAGGGATCTCCCAGAATAATTAAACGTTCTTTTAGAGCCACCATTAGCAAGATGTTGTGGAAAGGACTGGAAGGTGCATGGGTGACCTGGCACCAAGGAAGGGTGTGTGTGTTTAGGTGTAGTGGGTGTGTGTGTGTGTGTGTGTGTGTGTGTGTGTGTGTGAGAGAGAGAGAGAGAGAGAGAGAGAGAGAGAGAGAGAGAGAGAGAATGAGGGGAAGGGCAATATTCCTCCGACTGTGGCTGGACTGACTTCATCTTCAGGGCATTTGGGGGTCCTTATTCTCTCTAACTCCCCGCTTCTCTCCCACACCTAACCCCGTCTTCCCCACATCTACTCTGAAGGGACCACTTTCCCGGCAACCTCAACCCAACCCATATCAGGTTGTCATTAACTCCATTCATCCGGAGACTGGGGCCTGGCTGTAGTAGGGCCTGTCTCCAACTCGTGGTCAGCTAGTGACTCAGGAAAAGTGAGAAGTTCTGGCCTACAGTGGTGGACAGGGCTGGACATCTCTTCCTCCTGGGTCTTGCTGACACACTAGGAAGGGTAACTTTGTCCCTTATAGGACGCTGCCCACCTAGAGAGAGGCTGGGAAGCAGACTGTCCAAGTTTGAATCTTAGTTCATTGTGCTGCAGGGCCCTGGACCAGTGACCTTGGTCCTCTCTGCCTCAAGGTCCTTATCCCTGAAAGCACTATCAGGAGCACCCTGTTCTCTACTGCTGGCCTCCCCAGGATCAGTCCTCGGAGCTATTTTTGTGATGTTTTTTCAGCGGTAGCTCAAGGCAGCATCTGCATCCCAGGTACCAGCAGCCTCAGGCGTCCTAGGTCAGAGCTGGCAAACCTGAGCCTTCATGTGCAGGCAACGTGCTCAGGGGTGGGATGGAAGCTCTGGAATTCCATCTCTCCCAGTCTTGGGTGGGCATGGGGGGGGGGGGGGTGGCTACTCTGGGGTCCAGAGCCAGGCCGGTACAGGTGTAGTGGCAGGGAGAGCCCATTTGTGTGCCCAGCCATCCTGCTGTGCCCTGTTTGCTCAGTCAGTTGTGCTTGACCTGGGGCACCCCTGCCTGTCTGTCATAGGGCGCGATGAACACCTTGCTGCCAACCCCCCGCTGCAGCTCTAGTGACACTCTCTCATTGTGAACTCATGCTATGGAGTCTGCTAGATGTGAGGCCCCGCCCCTGCCGCCCTTTCGGATCCTCCCTCCGTGAGAAGACATTGCTCTGTCTCAGTCTGACACGCTGGATGGGTACAGTTGGCTGGAAGATGAGATTAGGAGGAAGTGGGGTGGCTCCCAGAGCTTCCTGAGAGTGGTCTTGGGAACCAGAAACAGGCCTCCTGGCTGGGTTTCCTCTGATCAGAGACGGCAGGATACACACCTGTGCCTTGGAGAAGCCACCATGCAGCTTGCCCCTGGCTCCCCTGTAGCCGCAGCTAGAAGTGGTCAGGTGTCCGATTCAGTTAGTGCCCTCAGAGGAATTATCCTTTCTTTTCCTGGCTTTTTTTCTTTTTCTGAGCAATTGAGTCCCAAACACTGTCCTGAGGTCCCATTATCCCATTTTCCCCTGGCAGAATGCTCCACCGCCATCATCTGTGGAGGCCACGCATAGCCCTTTAGGGCCAGCATTTGAGGACATGGAGGAACAGAGAGGATGAACATTGGCTTCTGTTTGCATCTCCAGCAGCAGGCGTGCGGGAATTGAGGTCCGCCTTCCAGGCTCTCCTGCCCCCTGCTGGCTGCCTGTGGAACGGTTTCTGCTGCTGTGTTGTGACAGCTTGAGCCTGGAGACCCTGAAACAGGCAGAGATGACTGTCCGTTCTAGCTCCCATGATACGCCTGGGACATTGAAATGTGACTTTTCCTGAAAAGACAGAGAGGGCACTGTCTACCAAAGAAAGGGTTCTGCCTTAGGCCTCTATCCTGCCGAGGGGCATGACCAACTATCGGATGTCTCTAAGTCTGTGACACATTTAGAGGCAATTGCAATATAATGAGGTCTTTTATGAGGTTGGCAGGTCCTCTTGAAGGTCCATTGCATCCATTCCAAGTAAATGAAAATTGCCCTGGGGCTCATCAGCCACGGGCATGTTAAAGATCAGAGCCAAACAAATCAACGGAAACCTCCTGGGCCGTCAGTGTGAAGAGGAGCCACCACCACGGGTGTGATGATGGCTCCTTCAAAAGGGCGAGGATGGGGAGGGCGGGGCCAGGGGGCCAGGGGGCCAGGGGGCCAGCGGGATGGTTCAGCTGATAAGGCGACTGTAGTTTGAGTCTGGGCCCCGGGTTAATTCCAGGGCCTTAGATAGGTGGAAGGAGAAAACTGACTCTATGGGAGTTGTCTTCTGACCTCCGAACATGTACCCGTGCACACGTGTGCTTCATCTCACATGTGCATCACACATGCACATCAGCAATGACACTAAACTAATGCGTTGTTTTTTAAAGGAAAAATATTGGAATGGGGGCTCTGTCTGCCTTGTTTTGTTTTGTTTTTACCTGCCCTGCCTGGCTACTGAGTCAGCTTTAGGTTAATTAAGTGAATGATCTCCCCACTGTATATGAGCCTCCTTCCAGGGTGTATTCCAGCAATACACCCAGCCCTGCCTCCTTACCGGGGAGAAATGCGTGCGTTGAATTTGGAGCGGGTGTTAATTACAACCCACTCAGGACAAGATTAATCTCAATATTTCTCACCTACATGGCTCCATTTCCTGATTCTTCCATTACTCCCACCCCCGTGTTTTCAGAGGTTGCCATGAATGAAGGTCTGTGTGACTCCATCAAAGCGCAGGTGTTCTGCGTCTCCGCAGGGGAGCAAAAGACCCATGGTTCACTGTGGGGCCTCAGGTCCCTCTGCCTAGCCCTTACCTGCAGGGAATTCCCACGCCAAGTAGCCCCTTTCCCCTGCAGCACTGGGCGCATCAGTGATCACCTGCACCTCCCCCATCCTTCACCCCTTTTGTGACCAACTGTTCGGGCTTGAAGCCTTCCGGGAGCTCCCAAACACGAATCTGACTTTCTCATCCTCTAGGCTGGCCGTTTTCCTCTGGGCTCAGCCTCAGCTGCTTGCCTTTGTCCTAGCCAGAGCCCAGTGGCTGCCACCACAGCCTTCTTAAAATCTAAAATAGAATTAAGAATAAAAAATTAGCCTAGGTGGTGGTGGCGCACGCCTTTAATCCCAGCACTCAGGAGACAGAGGCAGGTGGGTCTCTGAATTTGAGGACAGCCTGGTCTATAGAGTGAGTCCCAGGACAGCCAGGGCTACACAGAGAAACTCTGTCTAGAAAAACCAAAACCAAAAAAAAATTAGAAATTAAACAATTTTTAACTTTTTGCCACACAAAGGTTGATTACTCCGGAGTCTCCCCTCAGGGTATGCCTCTGCCTGATTTTCCCTGGGCACAGAAAGCTCAGCTTTGGTTGGTTGTTAAGTCTGAGGGCCCATAAAACTGTCACATCAGTTAGGAGGCGTGTCATTCCCCAAACCAGGGATGCTCCACCCGGGCTCATTTTTGGTTCAGTCTGTTCTCTGTCGGTACCACTGGGTGTGTGACTTTCTCGGGGAGATGTGAAGAAACTTCTCTTCACCCAAGATAGACAGGGCATGAGCAGATCAAAGAGAGGGTTTTGTCCAAGCCAAAACCTGTGAACCAGTGAACTTAATGGAGTTATGGGGGCGGGGCAGGTCATAGGCAGCTACACCCCCAGGAAATCCCACACCCAGTGGACTGTTCCCTTAGGGCACAGCAATTACAGTCTCAGGGGTGGGGAGCCTCATGAGGGTCACGTGATGACTTCTCAGGGTCTTCTAGCTTCTCCCCTGCCGGCCTCCCAAGGGGATGTTCATAGGCCTGAGTTAGCGCATGGGTCATCACAGGTGCTCGGCTTCAAGATGGAGATGCTCTTGTCAAGCCCAGGAAACAGCTGTATCATAGACATCGTCCTCAACCTCTCATCTGTGAAATGGGCACAGTGCTGGGTTCTCAGGGCCAGTGGGGGTTGGGTCATGGTGCCAGCATTGTCTGAGTTGAAAGGCTGTGTCTCAGCGCTATGCCTCCCCACCCTGTCTTCTTGCCCCCTCAGCTCAGGTCTTCTCAGTTCACCCCTCAGTAGTCTCTACGGAGGCTATGATGGTGTGCCTAGCTGCTTTCCTGGGCTGGGCATACTGTGGTGCTGTCTGCTCCCTCAGAGATCCACCCAGCATCTGGCTCCAGCCTGGGCAGGGTGTCTGGTCTGTAGGAGACAGGAAGCTATGCTTTCAGAGTGTGTCTCTTGGTGCAGAAGCCAAAGCTGCACTTTTCCCACTCTGCAGCACTGCCTTGGGTCTTTAAGGGCAACCGCAAAGAGTGGAGAGACTGGATAATCTCCAAGTTTATCCAAGATAAAGTTCCAAGATCCAGGAACTAGGACGGGTAGGGCCTGAGTCCTGCCAGACGTGACTCTGCCTGGCTGCTGCCTCCGCCTGGTTCCTAGCGTCTCCTGTGTCCCCGTGGCCATGCCTGTGTATCTCCGTGGAAAATCAATAGAATTTCTGCCCCACGCTGGCATTCATCTATCCTGCATTCCGACAAGTCTTTGAGCTTCCGTTCCTCATCCTTAGCATGGAGTAGCAACGCCATCACCGCCTGAACATCCTTGTACTCAGTGTTAGTCCTTTTGGGGCTTGTCATTTGATGGCTTCGTGACTGGCCTTGGGGGTCGGCTGCTCGGGGAGATCCACTCAAGGCAAGAAGAAGGTGGTGGCCCAGGGTCCAGCATGCTAAGATCTTTCTTCAGCTGTTATCTGTCAGCTCACCCTACTGGAAATGCCCTCTGGCCGAGGAGGGAGACAGTCCAGGCAGGACTTTGGGATACGGTTGGCCGTGTACCTCCCTTCTGTGGGAGAGAGGGCAGTGAGGCACCTGTGCCCCCAGGTTCTCATGTTCTTCTCTCCCTCCCTGCAGGATATCTGTGACGATCCCCGCCTCTTCATAGACGGCATCAGCTCCCATGACCTGCACCAAGGCCAGGTGGGCAACTGCTGGTTTGTGGCCGCCTGCTCGTCACTGGCCTCCCGAGAGTCCCTCTGGCAAAAGGTAAGGTCTGGGGAGCGGCAGCTGCAGGGGCTATCAGACAGCCCATGGCGCTCGCTGCCAGGAAAGCGTGGTGTCAGGGAGGCTTGTGTGGCTTCCTGAAAGCCTGCTGCTGCGTTGGGCTGGGCCTCAGTTAGCAGACTGGCCTTCCCTCGCCTGTTTAGCCTGGGATCCTCAGGGTAATTCCCAAGGTGATTCTGATGTGTTCCCCTCTCCAACTGCTGAGGGACAAGGAACCATGGAGCAGAGGATACCCCTGTGAAATGTACACACTGCCTGTGTTATCCTCGGTGTAGGGATGCCACTCAGCTCTCAGTAACTGCTGTGTGACACGGGCCAGTGGCTGGCTTTTCCTGGGCCTCAGTTTTCTCAGTTGTTCAGCAAGATGTGGTCTAGATGGCTCCACATTTCGTGATTTCCGGATTCATGCTGTTGATGTTCTGGGCCAAGGGCAGAGGTTTGGGGGAATGACGGAGGGATGGGTCCTGGGCCTGCCTCTTGAACTTTCTTGGCAACGCTCGGCAGGAGACCTTAAATATAACACTTGGAACTACTTTCCCGAGGAGGGGAAGCCATTTTCAGTTACATAGTGAGTTCAGGGCTAGTCGGGATGTGTGAGACCCCGTCTGAAAGCCATGCAGAAGGAGGAGGAGGAGGGGAGAGGAGAAGGAGAAGGAGGGGTAGGAGGAGAAGGAGGAGGAGGACGAGATACCGTTCTTGTAGAACCCCTGGCAGGGTGACTCTCAGTCAGCGATGGCTACACTGACCTATTTTGAAATAATTATTAGCCCTAAACATGAGAGTGTCCCAGGCAGCGGAGATGGCTCAGTAGGTAAAGCCTTTAAGCCTGAGTTTGATCCCTCTGACCCACATGGTGGAATAAGAGAATAAGAAGACAACCCACAAGTTATCTTCCAACCTCCATATGTGCCCCCGATAAACAAACAAACAAACAAATAACTGAAACAGGACTCAAGGAATAGGATACGTTTTTCTTGCTTTCTCAGGCATCCATCAGCCATCAGAGGGAGCTGTGTCCTTAGCCAACATCCAGGCCCTTGCAGGGCCTCTAACCTCCTCTCCTGTCTCCTGGAGAGTGTGGGCTCCTAGCCGCCCAGTAGGTGTCCCTGTCAGGGTCACGGCACTTGTATACTGTGGGCCTTTGACACTCAGAGCCCACTGCTGTGGCTTTTATAGGGGTGGGGAGTCTATGCTGGACAGCCTCAGCCTGGAGGGCGGGGAAGGATGTGTCTGTTGTGGGTGTCGAGGGCTGGAGAGAACTCAGCCCGGAACCATCCATCATCCGGATGGAGGACTGGTCCTCAACACCGCAGCCTCCAGCCCCGACTCTGAGCAATGGCCGCACGGCCTTGGCTTGCAGGGGCTTGTGGGCCCTGTGTGTTGCTCCACCCTGCCCTGTAATTGCCTGTTTATTCGAGTCTCCCCTCTAGAGGTGAACTCCTCAGGGGCAAAGCTGGCCCAGTCTGCCCCTTCTTGCTGAGTCTGGTGTGAAGAGCGAAGGTTGGGGAACAGAGGGCTGCCTCACCTTGAACGCAGTGCAGCCCTGTGACTCCAAAGCTGACCTTGCTGTCCATTTCCCATGGGTCTCTTGACGGACTGGAGCCTAACCAGGTCTGGCTGTGCATTGTCAAGGAAGATGCTCACCTTGCTGTCTCACTGACTTGGCCTCGTGGGCCCTGCTCCCCGTCTAGCTGATGGAGAAGTTGGCCTGCTTCTCATCAGTGTGGAACCTCCACCTTCTGCAGGACTGAGACTCCAACCCTGGTGGTCTCCCAGGCTGATCTCCAGGGCTGGGGTTGGATGCTCTAGGCTGATTGCATTCCACCTCCGGGAGCTGCTGTGATGATGGTTCACGCGAGGAGGCCCTGGGGAGCTCATTACGGTGCCTTACATCCCCTGCAGTCCCCACTGACTGGTCCCTGTTTGTTGTCACCCTCTTGTTCTGTCCTGTTGCCCCGCAGAGCCTCCCTGACCTTCATCTGTTTTTTCCCCTGGAAGAGCAGCGGGGGTGCGGGGGAGGCGGGGAGGGGGGGTTGTGCCCTGAACCCCGCCCACCTCTACCTTCCCAGTGCTGAGTATCAGAGGCAGATGTATCTTGCCTGGGGCACCCCTGCCCTTCTTTAGGAAGTTGCTCCTTTCTTTCAAGACCTCAAGATAGTCTGGGGCTGATGGGCACAGGATTCCAAGCCAGCCAGGCTGAGTCTGTCCTGGCTGCTAGTCACTGACATTGGCCTTGGTGTCAACCTGGCTTTCCAGGCCCCGTAGACAAATGCTGGGCATTTAGGAGTACCCTTCCTGACACAACTTCTCTCCCACCCTTCCCTCGTACGTCCCACCCAATCATCTGCTCCGCAGGGCTCAGGGCTCCCTCTCATTTGGGTCAGTATGGCCTCCTCCAGCTCAGTAGTTTGTTCCCTAAGTCAGACGGTGGTCTGAGGTGACCAGGCCCCGTGAACCCACAATTAGGATATGGTTAGGTTAAATACTTGTCACGGGGATCAGCTTAGGCCAGATCCAAGGTTCTTTGGGAGGTGGCCTCTGGCATGGGCCTGCTGCCTGCTCGTAGCTGCCCAGGGCCCAGGGGGAGCCAGTCAGAGTCCCAGCTGGCAGTAAAGACAGAAGTGGCCATTGGGCAAAGCAAGATTGGGGCAGCGAGTGAGGCAGGGGTTGTCAGTCCTGGGCAGTGCTGGGCAAAGCAGAGGATGCTGGGACCAGGCAATCTTTGTTATCAGTTCAAATGTTTCTCAGTTTTCCCGGATTGATGCAGGGAGACCTTGTATTCAAGGCCCACTTGTGCTATTCATTAAACCCTGTCTCAGTAACAACGAAACAGTAACAATAATAAATCGAATGTCTCCCACTCTGTCCCAGTCCATGCCTCAGTTATGAATTGGTTCATTAAGAAATGATGAATGGGGGGTGTAGAGATGGCTCAGTGGTTAGGTGCCCTGCCTGCTCTTCTAGAAGACCTGCCATTCCAGGCATGGCAGCTCACAACTGTGTGCACCTCCATGATCCATCACCCTCACACAGACATACAGGCCAAACCGCAATGCAGATAAAAATTTAAAAATTGAAAAAGCTAAGTAATAAATGGAGGACTTAGCCATGTCCCGTGTACACAGTATGTTTCTGGGGATGTGAAACGCACAGGAGGACTTAGCTGTGTCCCGAGTACACAGTATGCTCTGAGAACTGAACATGTGAAATGCACAGGAGGATTTAGCCATGTCCCATGTACAAGTAGGTTCTGGGGACTGAACATGTGAAATGCACAGGAGGACTTATCTGTCCTGTGTACACAGTATGTTTTGGGGACTGAAGATGTGGAACGCACAGGAAGACTTAGCCGTGTCACGTGTACACAGTATGTTCTGGGGACTAAACATGTGAAATGCTCAGGAGGACTTAGTCATGTCCCGGGTACACAGTATGTTCTGGGGACTGAACATGTGAAATGCCCGTAAGGCCCACGTGACTTTCTCTACCCAGAGGCAGCCATGTTAGGGGTCTCCTTATCCTTCTCTCTGCTGGGGCTGAGGAGGTTGTCTGGGGTGCTCTCTTTGCTTCTGTGCACATGTCTGCAGCCACGGGGGCCCCTTCAGAGCGGCCTTTCTCTCCTGTGTCCCCTCCTCTGTCCAGGCTCGGATGGCTCCTCACAGGGTCTGTCTGTCCAGTGGCTGGCAGATTACCACGTCCACCTCCTTCCCTCGCTGGTCACAAACATATATCACACAGTTCTTTTCTGGCTCCCTCCGCCTACCCATGTGTGTGTCCCCAATTACAGCTGTCACAGCATTCTTCACCCCCAACTGCCTGAAAGGAGCACCCCCTCCCCGGCAGCGGACCAGCCCTCTCTAGTGGTTCTGTGACCCCGGGTCTCCTTAGGGATTAGAGAGGCTGACACCCCACCCCACCCCGCCTTCCCTCGGGATGTAGAATCCCGATTCCCACCCCAACCCCCGCCTGTGTCTGTACAGATGCCTGCTTCCTCAGCCTCAGCCTCTGGCATGCTGTCCTCGCCAGCCTGCTGTGCTGGCTGACTGCCTGGCACAGAGCGCTCAGCACCTCTGATTTCTCAGCCTTTCTGGGCATCATTAGGTCTGTGAGGTTAATACTGCCCTCTGCCCTCGGCCCCATGACTCTGGCATCAGCTCCAACCGTCCTCACCTTCATCCACTTGTTACTGTACCCTTTCCCTGGTGTGCTGAGACCCGTCTCCACCTCGCCTTCTAGGCCTCCTAGGCCACCTTTTGTCGTTGCCATTCACCCATCCATCCATTCATTCATTCATTCAGCGTTCAGCACTTCTGCCATTCACTTAGCTTTCTGAACATCCCCTGAGCACGGAAGCCATGTTCTTCTCACTTACAACGATGAACAAGATAGACACACACCTGCCCTGCCAGGGTGTCCAGTCCAGGGGAGACATAAAACAAGCAAAATAAGGGCTGGGATCCAATTCAGTGGGCAAGCACCGGCCCACGTTTGTCTCCACTCACACACGTCACACACGTCGGCTGTCACACCACACATACACTTTCTCTTGTTCACACGCATGCACGCACACTCTTTCAAGCACTTACGCAAACACAAATACAAATTGGACTTGCGTGTGGCTTGGTGGGTAAAGTGCTTGCCAACTAACAATCGGAGTTCAATCCATATGGTGGGTGGAGAGAACCGGCTCCTTCAAATTGTCCCCTTACCTCCACATATGGCCTATGGCATTTACACACACACACACACACATACACACACACGTGTGTATGCACAAATACAATGAGAATAATTTAAGATCAGAATGTCGTGCTGGAAGTGCAGAAGGCATTCCTCTTCAGAGAGGAAGTCGAAACCCTCACTCACTATCTCTCAGCCATGTCGTCCTGAAGGCCAGTGAGCGAGCAGGCAGCTTGATTCAGCGCTTACCGTAGTGGTTTCTGAATTGCTGCTGGTGGCCCTAAGAACTCACTCCAGGCTTGAGGTCAGTTTGTTTTTCCCAGTGCTGGGAACTGAATCCAGGATCTGTCTGTGCTCGGCAAGGACTCTGTCAAAGATACCATTGGACGCCTCCTCCTTCATCCTAAGATCCCCAACGGCGAGGCTGAGGCAGGAGGACTGTGAAGTTTGAGATCAGTCTAGGTGACCCACTGAGATCCTGTCTCCAAGTAAAAGGATCAGATCTAGGGGCTGTAGTTCGGTGAAAGAGGCCTTGGGTTCAGTTCCCAGACTGCCGAAAAAAACAACCCATTGAAAAGCAGCTTGCTGTGATGGCTTACACCTGTAAGCCCAGTACTTGGGAGACCCAAGCAGGAGGAGTGCTGGGAGTTTGAGGGCAGCCTGGATAGCTACACAGTGAGACCTTGTCTCAAAGACAAACAAACAAACATAACAAGCGAGCTGTCCATCACAGTACCGCTGTGCTAATTACCAACCCACTGGTTCACTTGACTTCCGTCTAGCAAAGCAATGTGCTTCTGTCCCCAAAACCCTTCTATTGTTTCCAGCTATGACACTTTGCCCCCTGCCTCCTTTCTGTGTGTGACAGCCACATCTCTCTATCTCCACTGCCCAGACACGCTTCCATCTCCAGTCCCACCATCTGTCCGCATTCACTGGCTGGGCTCTGCCTCCCGCTGATACACGCCAGGATGTGGGTCTCCTGATCGCTCCCTGGCCTGGGGAAGGTGTCTCCTAGGGCAGGTAAAGGATCAGTGTAGGCAAAAGGCCTGGTGGGATTCGGATGGAAGTGAGAGCCGAGCCTGTGGTTATGTGACGTAATGTGTGGTAAGATCGTTTGAACCACGGCTTCCAGGAGCAGAGCCAGGCAACTGTCTGGCAGGTGATTTGGGATTTGAGAACTGCAGGTTCAGTCGGGTTGGGTCCTAGTGATGCTAGAGGAGAGGAGGATGCCCAGGGCATTTGGGAAGCAGAATTGACAGGACTTGGCAGGTGGCTCTGAGAGAATGAAGGGAGGATGAAGCACCGGTGGCCCCAAGCTGGCCAGGAAACTAGTGATGGACGGGTGCATCTTGGTGCTGCCCTGTCCCCTCTTCCCGAGTGGTCTTCTGTACCCCTCACTTCTCTCCCAACAGCCCCATGGAGTGCTCCCTCCTTCACAAACAAGCAAGCCTCCAGCTTGCTGCTCCTACTGTAGTCAAGGTGATTGCCACAGCAGCTGACATCAGCGCTCCGGTCCCGAAGGAGCCTGTCACCCTCCAGCCTGCCTACGGCAGGCACGGCATTACAACCTCTGCAAGGAGCAGAAAGGAGGCAGTTGGACACACACTCCTGTCTGTGTCCCCTGTTCTGAGAACTGGGCGGGGCCAGAAAGGGCCGGTGGCCAAAAAGGAGAGGCTGGAAAGGGAGGCGGGCCTTCAGGGGGCCTCCTCTCTTGACACCTGAATCTCCAACCCACTTGGTTCCCTGACGTCGGCGGGAGTGGTGGCAGTGGTAACAGCTGTAGTACCTGGGCCATGGCAGAGGACGGGCCACCGAAGCAGCAGTTGGACATGCCTCTGGTTCTAGACCAGGACCTGACCAAGCAGATGCGGCTCCGAGTCGAGAGCCTGAAACAGCGTGGGGAGAAGCGGCAGGATGGCGAGAAGCTGCTCCGGCCAGCCGAGTCTGTGTACCGTCTCGACTTCATCCAGCAACAGAAGCTGCAGTTTGATCGCTGGGATGTGGTCCTGGATAAGCCGGGCAAGGTCACCATCACGGGCACCTCGCAGAACTGGACGCCTGACCTCACCAACCTCATGACGCGCCAGCTGCTGGACCCTGCTGCCATCTTCTGGCGCAAGGAAGACTCCGACGTCATGGATTGGAATGAGGCCGATGCCCTGGAATTTGGGGAGCGCCTGTCTGACCTGGCCAAAATCCGCAAGGTCATGTATTTCCTTATTACCTTTGGCGAGGGCGTGGAGCCCGCCAACCTCAAGGCCTCTGTGGTGTTCAACCAGCTCTGACGACAGCCCTGGCCACCCTGCCTCTGGCCCACAATTCCCCCTTGCCTGAACCTCCTGCCTTGTGTATATTTGGGGGACATTCTTCTACCTGTTCCTTCTGTGCTTGACTTGGCTAGAGGTCCCCTGAGTCCTCCATGGCCCCCTTTCCTGGTGCTAGTGCTGCATCTCACAGGGATGACCCATGGCTCCATAGTCTAGAAGCTGGACACTGCTGCTGTAGACAATAGAGGCCTTTTGGGTTCGTGTGGCCAGATGGATGGACTTCTTGGACATCTGCCATCTCTGCTTCATTGTGGTGGAGAGAGAGGGACTGAGAGACCAAAAGGCTAACCAAGAGATCCAAATAACCAACCACTGGATTTCCTACAGGGATGGAAGACTGAGACGTGACGGGAACTGCCTTCTGGGGAACCTGGCAAGAAGGCATTTGCCTGCTGGATCAAGCTGGAAGCAGGAGATGATGCCCAGTGGTGCTCTGGCAGCAGGAAGGTGCTTTTCCCAGTGTCAACACCAACCTGCTGTGACCTTAGGGCCTTCCAGACACTGGGCAGGATGACAGCAGGGCTTGGTTTGTCTGGCAGAGGGTGGCTGGCTTTGCAGGTCTGACCCGGGTTGCTGTGGAGAAGGGAAAGAGCCTGTAGAAGCTGACCCAGCTCTAACTACCCACACATATGTATATATTGAGAGAAAGCATGCTATATTTGTACGGATGCATGCCCGAGGGCTAACGCTAGTCAGGAATGAGGCTGACTTTAGTTTCGCTGTTGAGCAGTTGGTACTAGGTCCTGGGATTGGTGGAGGTGACCCTGACTGCGTCCTCCTTGGTGCAGGGCTTCCAGCACTGGGAGACTAAGGCTCAAATGGGGAGGCAGAGAACCAAGTTAGGGGGGTCCAGGGCTCTGAGCCAGAAACACTGATGCCCCTGATAGGACGGCTGGCCTTTGCAGCTTGCTGGTCAGGAGCACAGGTGCTGTGTCCTGCTGTAACTTCTCTGGCCATTTACTGGTGGTTCTACCAGAGTGGAGGCACATGGGTAAGGCTTTGTGGCAGTTATGATGTCTGATGTCTGAAGTGGATTGAATGTCTCCAGGTGTGATGTCTAATACTGGGCTGGCTTCAGAGGCTGTCCAGGTAAACCCAGTCAGCAAACCGACAGGGAAATATGGAGGCACGGGTATCAGCGGATTCCGTCCTGCCCCAAGCCTCATTTCTTCCACCCTGTGCATCCCGAGAACCTCCTTTTAAGGAGAAGCCTCACCTGCCACCTAGCATCAGTCAGAAGCACCTCAGGTGCCACCCACTCTGTCTCAAGGCTGCCTCCGTTTCAGATGCCAATGCATCAAGATCTGAAGGTGGGGTCTGTCCAGTGGGTGGGCTGCCAGGAGGGCAAGCCCCAGCTCGGGGTCGGGATTCTGGAGGCAGGAAATAGGCTGTGTCACTGGCCCTGGTGGCTATTGCTTGCAGAAGCACCTGCTAGTGCCTTCTAGACGCTGCTGACTCTAGGGAGCCATACCTAGACAGGGGCCCCACCTTTCTGATCTCTCCCTACAGCTCTCAAGACCCCGTTGGTTCACGCTGCCTGTCCCCCAATTCTGTCTCACCCCGTATTCCCTTTGGGGGCTTGAGTGTCTCTGCCGTGCTTGTCACATGTCCCCAATAAAGACCGCATGCCCTCACTTCTGCAGTGTGGTGTGCCTCTGTGCTGTGGTTTGTATCTCTGCCTGCAAGCCCACATCAGAAGCATTCCCCGTGGGACCTTGCAGTTCTGAGGAACTCCATCCTGCCAACCTTCAGGATGAAGTTGAGCAGTGAGGTCCCACGTCAGGACTGGGCTTCATCTGTCTTAGGTCTCCTGGCTGCCCTGCTTCTGGGGTATGCAAGAGCCAACTGAGGCTGTGCTTGGGGCGGGACCTTGGGAGTTTAGTGGGCAAGGCTGACACCAGTTTAGACTGGTCTTGGTCGCTGCTTGGGTGTGTTCTCTAGGAGTCCCTGACCTTCTCTTGGGCTTGACCTTCCAGGTTAGTCCCTGGTTTTACATCCTCTCTTCAAAACTGTGTCCTCTGACCCTGGCACTGGGGTAGCTGGGGGAACCGTCATCCTAGAGCACCCCCCCATGACTCAGCCCTCATCACCTCCCTCATTCACTCATTTTTTGGATAGGGACCGCTGAGGCCCATGGGAGGAGGCCTCCATCCTGAGACATGGAGGGGTGGACTGGGAATCAGGTTCTGAGCCCCTGGACCTTTGATCCCGCAGCTGGGACCCCCCTGTGATGGGTTCGGGAAAGACGTTCTTCCACCTCTATTGAGGACCCAAGCGTCTTAGGATGGCTTCCTACAGAGAGAGGTGTCAGAGCTCCGTGGGTTGGCTTGCAGATGTCCCTAGCTTCAGAGCGCTCCGGAATTCTCCCCTCGGCTTCTGTCACCTGGCTCCCGTGTCTCATAGTGTCCAGAGACGTTTCCCTATGCTGTCTCCCCCTGGTTCGGGAGCCTCTGTGTTCCCACGTGCCCCTCCCATGTGCCCCTCCCACGTGCCCCTCCCAAACTACCTCCTTCCATTTTAGCCAGCTTCCAGCCCCTGTGAACTGCAGTGGTCTGGCCCTGTCCCCAGGTGTACACACACATGGATATGACCCATTTGCCACGGAAACCACTGAGAATCATGGAACCAGGAGTCCTGCTGTTCTGGAGCCTCTGCCTGGCAGAGAGCCAGTGTCTGTAGCTCCAGGGCCCTGTTCTGCCTGCCAGTGACTGGCTGTGTGGCCCCAGGCAGCCTCTCTGGGTTGTTTTCTACTTGGTAGTCAGCAGTGCCTCCCTTACAGGTGCTGAGAAGGTCACACGGAGAATGTCGGCGGAGCTAAGACTCCAGAAGTCACTTGTATGTCAATAGCTCCCTACAGATGCTGTAGATTATCTTGGGAGAAGGGTTGGGAGAGGTTATTCATGGAACAAGAACTTAAGGTTCAGAGAGGTAAACGGCACTGCCTGCGACTGCACAGCCGGCCAATGCTGACAGCAGTAGGTGTTGGGGAGGGATCGGCAGGTGCCAGGCCAGGCTCTGTGGCCCCAGAGAGTGGTAATGGGCCGAGTTTTCTCTCATTACAATTAGGCTCAGATATCCCAGCGGAAGGGATATCTGACCATCGCACTGTGCCTAGAGAGTGGGGGACCAGAGTTCTCTTGCCCTGGCCCAAGCAGTGGCCCCCGTCCTAGGCACACAGGGATGGTTGGGTGGTACATGACTGCCTGACCTCTCCAGTCTCTGTGTCTGAGACCTGAGGAATCTGAGACCTGTGAAACCAGAAGCTGAGACTCGAGGAATGCCACAGTGGAGGGGGGGCTGCTAGTGGAGACACAGGGAATCCCCTTGACGACCTCCACCCTGGCGTTTCACCAGTGTTGCTCAGAAATGCCCTAAGGTAGCCCTTGGGATCTAAGGCGGATATCTGATCTGAGCGGCTCCTGCCTATCTCCTATTCTTCACACTCATTTTCACACTTGATTACACTACACACAGGTCCTGGGCAGGGTCACCCTTCCTGGACTCTTGACCCCTAAGCCCAGCGTAGACAGGTGCCGCCCAAGGGGAATTCCCGTGCTTAGGAAACTCAGCATCAGAGGGCGCTGTAGGGCACCATCTCTGCACAGTGTGGCTCACACACAGACACACACGCACTTGAGGTGGGTAGTGTTGGAGGGCCTTTTGTTTTGTTTTTTTGTTCTCGAGGCAAGGTTTCTCTGTGTAGCGCTGGCTGTCCTGGAACTCATGCTGACTGTAGACCAGGCTGGCCTTGAATCCACAGAGATCCGCCTGCCTCTGTCTCTTGAGTGCTGAGATTAAAGACATGTGCCTCCACTGCCAAATATGTTGGAGGTCATTGATGACTCTGGGAGGGAGTTTTTCTCTACAGTGTGTGAAGTTCCTGATGGCCTCCTGTTATCATTGTAACAGCCCTGGAGGTGAGGAAAGGGAACTTGGAGGCCTCGCTGTGACCAGCATTCACATTGGTGCCGGGCCAGCCCCTGTACTGGGTGCTAGGAATCCAAGGAGGAACCACATTTGGCCATTGCACCATTAAGGAAATCTGTAGTGCTGGGGAGCCGGGGGAGGGGGTACTGCCCAGCTGCCAAGGGTTAACCTCTCGGGGATAAAGGAAGGAGGGTGCAGGTAGAGCCAGGCACACAGGATGTGCCTTGGGGCATCATGAGGTGTTGTGCAGTTGTGTAGATTTTGGTGGAGCTTGCAGAGAGGAGATGTTGGGGCAGGAGGTGAGGAAGTCAGCAGATTCCCAGGTCATGCCCTGGCATCCCCGGTGACATATAGGGACCACGGAGCATCCTTCGGGGCAGCCGCTCTCAGTCTACCGCATCTTACGCCTCTCACCCACACGAGTTCATCCGCAGATGCTGATGGGTACGGTCCTAAAGGAGAAGGAATCGTTTGAAAGATAGATAGTTACAGGGCTGGACAGATGACTCAGTGGTTAAAAGAGCGTGTTGCTCTTCCAGAGGAACTGAGTTCAGTTCCCAGCATCCACGTGGTGGCTCACAGCCATCTGTACCCCCTGGCCTCTGCAGGCACCAGGCATGCAAGTACACAGAGACATACATACGGGCAACATACCCATACATGTTAAATATACTTTCAAATATGCATAGTAAATATATTTACTATAATACTGATATGCAACCAAAATGTTTTAAAGTAATTTAAAAAATGTTTGGAATCCAAAATTCTAGATTTGAGGTTATTTAGGTGTTTATATATTTGTTTGATTTGTTGAGCGTTTTTAATCTGAAAACCCCAAACCCACAGATCCAAATTCCTAAATCTTCTGAACATCACGTCAGTGCTCAAAACATTTCAGATTTGGGAGTCTCGCTTTTCAAATTACGGCTGCCTACCTTGATTCATTAAATACACAGTGCAGTTTCAAAGATACACACATGTCCGTTTGCTTAAAGAGAGAAGTTCTTTGTAACCACGGCTCAATTGCTCTTGCTTCTTTTCATTTTCTCCTGCAATATATTTGTTAAAGAAACTAGGTCATTTGTTATATGGATTTCTCACTGGGTGGATTTTGTTGGCTGTGTCCTAATGGGGACGTTTGGCATGTTCTCTGGCTCCTGCGCTTCTGTAAGTGGCTTGGTAAGATTGAAGTCCTCTTGCCTTTCTCTCTCTCTCTTTCTCTTTCTTGTGATGTTAAGTGACCATTGGATAATGGTTTTCAGACAGAATGTCGTATATGAAGCCAGCCTAGAACTTGGTATGCAGCCATGTGGAAATTTCTGGCCGTCTTTCTTCTACCTCGCAAATTCTGAAATGCCGGGCGTGAGAAACCACATTGGGATTATTTGGTGCTGGGGATCTGACTCAGGCTTCCCACATGTTAGGCAAGCACTCCGCCAGTGAGCCACATTCCTAGCCGTTATTAGTGCTTTGAAACAGGGTCTAGCCCAGGCAGGCCTAGAATCCATCTTCCTGTCTCAAACTCCCCAATCTCTGCCCTACAGCACAGTGCATCCATTAATTCGTCAATGGCTTCAGAATAAAAGGGACTGAATTTCATCCTTTCTTCCACACTGCTGCCTGGGTTATGTTTTCAGACAGAGACCCCCTTCCCTTGCTATGCAGAGAAAGGCGGGGTAATGCTTCATTCTTTCTCTTTGTATTTCCCATCTCGAGAAGTCGGTTGCTTTGCTGCCCTTCTCCGGTAGGGGCTGTTCTGAGTCTATGACCTCATGAGCTTGAACACATTGACTGCTCAGTGCATGGCAGTCCCTTCCGAAAGCTCAGGTGCATCTATCTGTGGTAGCTTCCCAAATCTTCCGGCCTAGATAGCGAGGCTGGGAACCTCCTTGACTGGTGAGGTAGCCGGATGTGGCATGTGGGTAGATGTGCTTGGACCGTCCCCTCCCACCCTCACTGCCCAGCAGGCAGCACAGAGACCAAAAGCTACTCTGAACCCACCCCGTGCCAATTCTAGTGGCTATGATGCAGGAGGGGAAACTGAGGCCACCAGGGATCCTGACTCTGGATCTCCGGCCCTGGAGCCTCATTAACTGCTTCTTGGACGACAGTAGGCTCTGGGCCAAACCCTGAGGTTTACTAATGAGGTCCTGGCTTATCTCCCATGCCCTTTGAGGGCTCCTCCTCCTCCTTCCGTTGCTGTCCAGAACACCCAGTGCGGAGTCTCAGGGGAGGAGGCAGGCCCTTGGGCATGGCTCTCTGCCATTGGGTATGATTCTGTATCCTTGGGCAGTTTCCCTGTTCCTCAGCTTACCCATCTGTGCAGTGGGATGACCCCACCTTGTATAGGCCCCATTTTTTTTTAATTTAAATTCTGTCTTCTGCCTTCAAAGAAAGTTAGGGAGGCAGTGCAAGAGGTTAGGGCAGAGGTCAAAGCTCACAGAGTCGGGTGAAGGCAGAGGTAAGGAGAGGAAAGGAAGCAACTGTCGATACTGGACCATGCCTGGTTTCAGACCTGGGCCCAGGTTGCTAAGCCGGTGTTGGAATCCTGCCTGTGGCAGCCTTGGCTAGCGACTTCCCAGGGAATCATCCTGCATAGCTGTGAGGTGGGGGTACCACAGTAGACAGCTGTGTGCCTGGCACCTCACAGGGCTCCTTCCAGAAGAGGGGTGGTAGTGCTTCTCCCGGAGTTGGCATCTTCATCTCCCTAGAGACAGCCCTCCTTTGCGTGTGTCCCCGTTGATAGTGTAAATTGTGTAAACAACACATCCCAAATGAGTGTGAGGGCGGAGGCTCCGACCAGCACAGCCTCTCGGCGAAGCTGCAGCTGTGTGCCAGCCCAGCCTGTGTGTCTGGGCGCTGCTGTCTGAACCGGAGTGGCTTTCTTCTAGAAGGAACTGCCTGTGCTCCGGGTGGGGCTCAGTTGTACTTTGTTCATACGCAGCGGAGTGAGCTGGTTGTCCTGATGTGGAGGGCTGAGTGGCCCCCCTGCCTGCCTGCCACCTGCTGTCAGAGGACCTCTGTTTGTCCTCTTGTCCTTGAGGACACCTCTGCCAGCTCCTAGGACATCTCAGAGCTGTGACCAGCACCAGGATACTCACTATTCTCTCTCCCCTCCACACCATGGGCACTTTTGTCCCTTCCTCTCCTGCCAGACTCACAGCTTCTTGTGGGAATGTACTATGTCTGGGTCATCTCGGTCCTCAGTATCTAGCAGAGTCCAGGGTCCACCCAGGAGTTCATACAGCTAAATAACTCATCTGTCAGTACACAGGCCTGGGTTTGAATCCCAGCCTCAAACCCAGCTCTACCTGCCTCCAAAGACCATGTGCTTTTATTGTTGTTGTTTTCCTGACGCATTAATTTTCTCACCTGTCAAGCTGAGATGGAGCCACTGTGAAAATTGCACTGACCTAATTTGTGTCAGGCCCAAGCCCTGGCGTTTGCAAGACACTCTATAAATACTAGATACTAGAGTCCTAAGGGCTGTCTGTGCGTTCGTTGCATGCAGTCAACATATGTGTAACACACGTGCACCTGGGCCAGGTGGATGTAAAGCAAGAAAATAGGAAGCTCTGCCCACGAGGAGCTCCACCCATGGAAAGCTCCGCCCACAGGGAGCTCTGCTCCCAATGCTTTTAGATTTTATCCAACTTTAGATAACATCCAACAAGCGCTACCGGGCACTTGGTGTATTAACCCAGTGAAAGTATGGATTTTTAGGAACGTGTTTGGCCCAGTGGGGTCCTTGTCTGGTCTAGAGTTAAGGAGGGCTTTCTGGACAACAAAATGGCCACTGAAGGAGGAATTGTGAGGAATGAGGGCAAGGAGCTGGCCTAGGAGCCCAGAGCAGGTCCAGTCGTGAGGCCAGGTGGAGCACCCCTTAGGAGAGTGACATCGTTTGTCCGTTTTCTGCTGAGTGAGGACCAGGGTGATTGTGGGTGTCAATGCCGTTACAATGTCTGTGAGTCAGAGATGGTGAGGGGAGCAGGGTGGTGCTGGTGGGAAGGCAGGGGCGGAGAGGACCCGCTTAGGTGGAGAGGGAGACAGAGAGGAGGCTGGCATGGCTGCTGGCTTCCAGCTGGGGCTGGGTTGGGTGGCTGGGGTGGACGGAACAGATGTGAGGGAGGCTTGCGGGGAGGGAAGCCTGTGGCTAGAAGGAGCCTGAGTCTTTGACTGTGACAGATATGGAACCCAGGTCCCAAGACTAAGACCAGGACAGTGCTGGCAAGTCCTGCAGTACCCATGCAGTGGTGGGATGGAACCCCATACTCCCGTTTCTTTGGGGTCATGCACTCCCTATCTCTCAGGAGCCAGATGCCTTTCATTGCCCTCATCTTGTCTCCCTAGGTCATCCCAGACTGGAAGGAGCAGGAATGGGACCCCGAGAAGCCTGATGCTTATGCCGGCATCTTCCATTTCCACTTCTGGCGCTTCGGGGAGTGGGTGGACGTGGTCATCGATGACAGGCTGCCCACAGTCAACAACCAGCTTATTTACTGCCACTCCAACTCCAGAAATGAGTTCTGGTGTGCCCTGGTGGAGAAGGCCTATGCCAAGTAGGTGTGGCCAGGCGGGGTGGCCAGGTGGGTTGACCAGGCGGAGCTGTCTGGGTGGGATGACCAGGTGGGTTGACCAGGTGGAGCTATCTGGGTAGGTTGATCAGATGGAGCTATCTGGGTGGGATGACTAGGTGCATTGACTAGGTGGGGCTGTCTTGGTAGAAAGACCAGGTGGGGTTGACCAGGTGGAGCTGTCTGGGTAGAAAGACCAGGTGGAGTTGATCAGGTGGAGTTGTCTGGGTAGGTTGACCAGGTGAGTTTACCAGGTGGAACTGTCTGGGTGGGTTGACCAGGTAGATTGAATGAGTAGGGCTCTCTGGGTAGAATGACTAGGTGGGGCTGTCTGGGTGGGTTGACTAGGTAGGTTAACCAGGTGGGGTTGTCTGGATGGGTTGACCAGGTGGAACTGTCTGGGTGGATTGACCAGGTGGGTTGACCAAGTGGGGCTGTCTGGGTGGGTTGACAAGGTAGAACTGTCTGGGCAGGATGACCAGACTGAGTTACCAAACCAGTGTGGACTGTTGCTAGGCTTCATGGGCCATTAGGAAAGGCTCTGTCACAGAGAGGTGAGGGCCTGGTGTCTACAGCATGGTCAGAGCCTAGGCCCGAGGACCCTACCTGCTAGGTCTGTTAGGGTGGAGTGGAGACCGAGACTGTGCGGAGAGGAACTGGGAGAAGATGAGGCCCAGGCAGGCATCATGCAGCATTGGGTGCAGGGCTGACACTCAGGGTTATGGCAGTAGATCTTACCCTCGAGTGTATATTGCCAAACTCCCCTGGGGACCTTTCCTGGTCTGGATGGCAGACCGTGGCCCAGATGCCTGTCTTCCTCTTGTAGGACCTGGCACAGAATGAGCAAAGGTGTGCTGAGGAGTGAGACATTTGGGGGCAGGAATGCCAGCTGGTTCCAGCCAGCATGGAAGGGGTCTCTCCCTGGGTTCTCTTCCCAGGCCTTTGGAGGGTGTGTGTGTGTGTGTGTGTGTGTGTGTGTGTGGTGGGGGTGACAGAAAGTGTGAGAGGAATCACAAGAGTTTGCATTCAAGAGCCTACATGGAAGAGAGAAAAGGAAAGGAAAAACGAATCCAAAACAAAACAAAACACCTGAGAATTTAACCCTACGAAAGCAGAGCCAGTCCCTTGGTGGCCAATGTGTTTCCACTGCCATTGGTGGGGCTGTGGTGGAGGACCTCCTGCTGGCTAGGCAAGTGCTCCACCTCTGAGCTACAGTTCCAGCTCTTGATTTTGTTTTTTTTTAAATAAAGTTTTATTGATTATATATGCACACACACACACACACACACACACACACACACACACACACAGTACTTCTTGCTAAGCCACCAATTCTTTGTCCAGTAACTACTGCCCACAATGCCGTCACCATTTCCTGAAGGCGTAAGTCACAGACAATCCCACACCAGTTTGGAATTATGATTAATAGAATGGTTATTTATTCAAAGGGGAAAAAACTTACAGATTACCGTCCCAGACAACAGCCCCTCCGCGCGAACAGGAAAGGAGTCCAGGAGCCGGAAGCGGAGCCGGAAGCCAAAGAGGGAGTGGAGGACAGCCGCTGCTTTTTTTAAAGAGAGAGAGACCACGCCCCAATAGGCTGGTAACTCAGCGGCGATTGGCTGAAGGAGCGGAAGGAACTCCCACAGCAATTGCCTACATCCAAAGTCTTCCCACGCACGCCCCAGCAGAAATCCTCCCTCATCAGTCAGTAACTCTGTTTTCCTCTCCCTGACGACTACTGAACTCTGTTCTTCTTGTCTATGAATCTATCAATCCTGAGCACCTCATATACAGGAAATCCTGCTATATTTGTTTCTCTGAGTCTGCCTTCTTTTACTCAGCATGATATATTTTTTAAAAGATTTATTTATTCATGTATTCTATGTGTATGAGTGCTCTATCTTCATGCACACCAGAGGGAACATGATCCCTTTACAGATGCTTGTGAGCCACCATGTGGTTGCTGGGAATTGCACTCGGGACCTCTGGAAGAGCAGTCATGTGTTCTTAACCGCTGAGCCATCATATTTCCAATGTTCGGCTGTGTTGTCGTTTATTCCAGCACTTTCGGCTGGAGCTCTCAGTCATGCTTAATCTGTTTGCAGACAGACAGTTGGGCAGCGCTCCCCTCTTGGCTGCTGTGAACGGTGCCACTGTGATCACGGGTGTTCAGGTGTCTAAGTCTCCGCTTTGATCCTTTTCCAGGGTTTCCCAGCAGTGGAACTTCTGGGTCATGTGACATTCAAATACGGGACTCTTTAAGGAACTCTCCGTAGTGGGTGCACTATTTTATGTTTGCTTCTCTCTCTCTCTTTCTGTGTGTGTGTTGTACTTAAGCACATTTGTGTGTGTGTGCATACTTGTACACACGTGTGTAGATGTGTGCACATGCGTGTGTATGTTCATGTGTGTGCATGTGGAGCCCTAAGGCTAGAAACATCCTGGCTTGCTCTTCCCCTTTACTCCCGAAGGCAGGGTCTCTCAGTCTAGCCCAGAGTCACGGATATGGCTAGTCTTGCTAGCCAGCTTGCTCTCGGGATCCCGTCTCTGCCTGCCACGGTTGGAATTACAGGTGGACCCCCATTCCCGCTTGCGTTTACTTGGGTTCTGGGGATTTGAACTCTAGTCCTGACAGTTCCCTGACAATTGCTTTAACCGGTGAATCACCTCCCTGGTTCTTCTTTACTTTTAAGTTGTGAAACGAGTGTATGCCTTTTTGAGCAAATCCAAAAAGTATGGGACAGAGAAGCCACGCCCCTTCCTGCTTCAGGCATCACGACTGTTGGCATCTGGGCCTCCAGCCACCCCTTTTAGTCTCTGCACCCCGTTTTCTCTATCAAGGGCAGCTCTTTCGGTATCATTTTGTTGGTGTGAGACAGGCTGTCATGCAGGCTTTTCCCAAACCCACTGCATAGCAGAAGCTGGCTTTGAACTCCTAGCCCCTGTGTGGAGGCTACAGGCCGGTGCTACCAGGTCAGCTTCTTTTAACATCTCCGATGCGTTTTTGTTCACAGGCATCCTTACAAAGCATGGCACCGTCTTGTGGGCTTGTCTTTACCATGCTGTGCTCTCTGCTTCTCATGCTTAGAGTCCCTGTGTCATTATATAGTAGATTCCCTCAGGGAAACTGGCTACAGATCTCCCAGTTCTACACACAGCCGTTTCATCTCTCCAGGCCAGAAACTACTTTATGGAATTATTGCTTACCCCTCAAAACATAACTGGAATTCAGCGGTCCTGCATTTTCAGGCATAACAAGCAAACACTACCATTTCTCTCTACCCCAAAGGTTCTTTTCCAACACTTTCTAGAATGTTCCAGAGCGTAGATACAGCATTTGTTTTTTAAAACCAATTCCTTCTAGTTGTACATTTTTTATCATTATGAATTATATAACTTATGCAGACTTATTGGGAATCTGAGTCCTACAGTGGTGGCTGGAGTTAAGACCTGCGCTCCATCGTTGGCCCTGTGGCTGGCTGCAAGACCGTAGCAGTTGGCTTGATTGCTGAGCTTCAACAGATCCTGTAGGAGGTGAAAGAGTCAGACCCGCCTGGGAGTCTGAACTGGGAACCCCCTGCCTGTCGTCGTCCCCCAGGCTGGCAGGCTGTTACCAGGCCCTGGATGGCGGCAACACGGCGGATGCTCTAGTAGATTTCACGGGCGGTGTTTCGGAACCCATCGACCTGACCGAGGGGGACTTCGCCAACGACGAGGCCAAGAGGAATCAGCTCTTTGAACGGGTGTTGAAGGTGCACAGCAGAGGTGGCCTCATCAGTGCCTCCATCAAGGTAGGAGCGCAGAGTACACCCGAGTGGGGCCGAGCCTGGACCCGGGCATCACACCGACCCTTGACCCCATGGCTGACATACTTGGAGAGCACAGCTCCCCTTCCTTGGTACTGAGCAGCAATGCAAGTCCAGGCTTAACCGCCTGCACCACACAATGCTCCAACACCGTTTAGACTCCCTCAGACTTCTTTGGGTGCTTGCGTCCCTGCCTCTGAGGCACATTGTCAAGGCAAACGGTGTCAAAGCGAAGGGCAGCTGGAAGGGGGCAGCAAGTCCCTAGGGCCGGTAGCCTGAAGCCGGTCTTCAAGGCTCCTGTGCTCAGTCACTGCTAGGAGTTAGGTGGGTGCATTGGAGTCAGGGTTTGAAACTGTGGTAAGGTAGCTGCTGTGAGCCTGGCCAGCTGATTCTCTAGAAATGTGGAGCCCTGGTTTGCGGTATCTGCTGAGTCCCGTGGAGAAAATACTGCCATCAAGGTCAGTTTCCTATTGCCCATGTCTTCACAAGCAGCTCTTAAAATTTCTGAGTGTTGCCACCAGGCATGGTCCCACACATCTGTAATCCCAGTACTTGGAACCTGGGAGGCAGAGGCAGGAGGGTTGCTCCGAGTTCAAAGTCAGCCGAAACTGCAAAGAGAATTCTACGCCACTCAGGCCTATGTATTGAGACTTGAAACATTCTAAATATATAGCAATCGGCTTCACTGGGACAAGTTGGCACCAACCTACTCTGGGATGGCATCTGCAAGTGGTTGGTCCCCTGGGGTTCTGACCCTTAGCAAAGTCAGTTCTGGGTCTGTGCAACTGCAGTTCCCACCGCTACCTGAAGGGGGCGTTGCGGCTCCTTAGTCTAGCTCAAGTGCCTTAGTTTGGATTCCAGTGTGACCCTCCTGTCTGAGCTCCTTTGTCCTCCTGCAGGCTGTGACAGCAGCTGACATGGAGGCCCGCCTGGCATGTGGCCTGGTGAAGGGCCACGCATACGCTGTCACTGATGTACGCAAGGTGCGCCTGGGCCATGGCCTGCTGGCCTTCTTCAAGTCAGAGAAGCTGGACATGATCCGCCTGAGGAACCCCTGGGGCGAGCGGGAGTGGAATGGACCCTGGAGCGACACGTGAGGCCCGGGCCCGGGGTTGGGGTGGGTGCAGGCACAGAGGCCAGGACAAAATGTGACACTGGCCTGGTTGAGTCTTGCGGGGTCTGGGGCAGGCGGCCTGAGGAAAAGACAGGACACTTACTTTCCAGTGTGTGTGCGGTGTCTGGGGGTGGGGTCACCAAGGACAGTGGCCTGGAGAAGGTGAGCTGACCTTGACCTGTGAGGACACCACAGAGACCAGTGTGATGCAGACGAGAGTGGGGAGGGAGGCCATAGCTCCCCAAATGCTCTGTACTTGGCCAGTGGTCCCGAGGGATCGAGTCCCTCCTCCCAGCTTTACTCCTTGGCTTCCTAGCCCTGGCAGGAAGACAGATCACAGTCTCCAGTGGGAGGGAATGAAGGTTTGTAGGAACTGGGTCAGGCATGACTTTCAGCTTCCCTAACCACGTGGCTTGGCTGTGTCTTGGGGAGGTGGCCCTGGCAGGCCACTCCTCTTAAACGGTTTCCTGATGCTCACATCCCAGCTCGAAGGAGTGGAAGAAAGTGAGCAAGGGTGAGCGGGAGAAGATGGGCGTGACCGTGCAAGACGACGGCGAGTTTTGGTGAGCGTTCCCTCGTCCCGAGTTTCCTGGGGCCTGGCCGGGAATGTGTGACAGGCAGTCAGAAGCCGGGGCTCGGTTGTCATCATCAGTTTGCTCCGTGGCCACCTCTCCAACCTGTTCCCCCTTCTGTAAGATGGGTCCTTGTACCCCATGTCCTCTCTGCACACCTGAGGGACACTGGAACTCTTCTGACTCCCAGGCTAGTCCTAGCAAGCAAGCCACAGCGCCAGCAGACGGTCACCTCAGGACAGCCATCTCCTTCGACCAACTTCCTGCCTCTGTTCCCAGCCTTTGTCTCCTTGTGTCTACCCTGCATCCATCCCAGGTCCATCCCACATCCAATCCTCTGTCTCTATTCCCTGCATCTTTCCCCTGCATCCATTCCTCTGTACCCATCCTCTGTGGTCCGTCATTCCCTGTATCTGTCTCACATTCCCTGCACCCATTGGCTAAAATCCTACTCCCTAAATCTTCCCGTCTGAACCCATCACCCTGTACCCATCCCTTACATCCACTCTCTCTATCCATCCCCGCACCAACTCAACCCCCTACGTCCATTCATTCTTCTGTATACGTCCCCTTATCTGTCTTTGTACCTGTTCACTCTGTAAATCCAGCCATTTCTGTCTCCATTCCCTCCTCCATCCCTCTGCCTCCTCATTCCCCTGTATCCATCCCCTCCTCCATCCCTCTACCTCC